ACCTGAGAATGCATTCTGCCCGTAATGCCCTCCAGGAATGATGTTGCTTTCTTACAGCGTCGGCCAGCAGTGAGGGAGAGGAGGAATCCCACCAGCAGAATCCATGCGTCTCTTACGATCTCTCCAAGTTGATCAACTACCCAGGTTTTAACATGTCCACGCCGAGTGGGGTCACAGACGTAAGTGCCCGTTGCCCTGGCTGCGGTCTCTGCCCTTCACGTTTCCCGCCGTTCGCGGCGTACCACAGTCACATGATCACCATTTATAACGTTTTCGGCTGGAAAACTTTTGCTTCCGTTTTCCAGCCAAAAAAAAAAATATCTTTGCAGACAATGGATTTACATTACAGCTGCAGCAAGGAAGGCTGTAAAATTGGTCATGCGGTGGCCTGCTTAACAACCTGCACGGTCATAAGACGAGGTGCATCTGTAGCTCCTATATTGGCTTAAGTGCCTTTGGGAAGGACTGTCGGAAAGACTATCTGTCGGTTTATTGCAGCAATACCTTTGATTAGAGTTTATTCTTTCTTGCCTCGGTTCTTTTTATGCAAGATGATACAGCAAAGCTCTGTTGCGTGGGGTATATAAAGCTTGGACATATATACTTTTGATTCCCTAACAGTTTCTTTCTTTCTCTTTTTGTGGGGGAACACAGGAATGGAGGATGTTCGGCTCGGTCCCTCTTCAGCCATCCCAGCAGAAAGAAATTTTTGCTCATTATCTTTCCACTTACCATTCGGTGAATATTTTTTTAAGCACGTTGGTCTATTTCCCCGAAACAAAGCCGCCTTTTTGGGTGGTGGTGTGGGGGGAAGAGGGGATTCCCCTCCGGGGTTCTTACTTTCTCTCATTTGTTTCTCACCCCCCCCTCCCCCAGGCCAACCTCAAATCCAAGCCCAAAAGGCCCCCCCCTCGCCAGAGCTCACATCATTCGAAGCGGCAGAAAGGATCCAGCGCTGAAGTTTCGCCAGCCGACATGGAGATCGACTCCGGTATAACTTTCCTCTTAGAAACCCATCGCCATTTTAAAAAAAAAATTCGCCCCCGTTTTGCTTCTTTCCTTCCATCCCATGAGCCCCCAGTAGAAACCCACCGTCATTTGTTCAAAGCGCCCCCCCCCGCCCATCTTAGCTCCGACATGAGGCAGGCGAGTGATTAAAGCCATTGCTCTTCTCCTCCTCCTTTCAGATCTAGAAATGCCCCCTAGCTTTCCTGATTACGACGGCTTCCACTTCCAACCTCCGTTGCCTCCGGGGTCTCCGCTGACGGCCACTCCCCCCCCTCTGCCACAGGGCACCCCTCCAGCTACTCCCCCCAGCCTGACACCTCCTCAACCGCTGTCTTATGTGCCAGCAGCCCTGCCTTGGACGCCGTCTGCCCCGCGGCCGGAGGATTCTGCCATGGACGAAGACACCTTGACCCTGGAAGAATTGGAGGAGCAGCAGCGGCTGATTTGGGCAGCCCTCGAGCAGGCGGAGAGCGGCAACAGCGACTCGGACCTCCCTGCCGGGACCCCCATGGCCAGCAACTCCGGGACATCGTCCCCCTGCAGGACGGAGCTCTCCATTGCCCTGGAGCAAGCGGGCCCCCAACAGCTGAAGGAGGTCTCCAAAGCTGAACCCACCGACAAGCCCGAGCAGATACCCCAGACTCCCGAAGAGCCCCCCGAAGAGCCCGGCCCTCAACCGGCCATTGAACTGGTGGATTTAACAGCCGAGAGGGAAGCCATTCCCACGGACTTGGGAGGCCAAACCTGCTCCTCCTCGGATCCTGGCGGCCTCCTGAACCATAGCGACGCTCCTGAGATTCCCAGCGCCAGCCAGCCGCCCCCCTCCACCCCTCCCGGCCTCGTTCCCGACATGAGCAAGTTTGCCGCTGGGATCACTCCTTTCGAATACGACAACTTGTCGGAATCCACCGGGACTTACCTCAGAATAAGGAGCGCGCTGAAAAAATACCCGAGAAGCCAACTGAAGAATAAGAAGCTTTCCCTTTAACAGCCCGACTGGGGCCAGGGACAAAAAAAACCCCCCAAACACAATCAGGATTTGGGTGCTTTGCCCTTAAAGCACAAACGAAAGAGCCAGAGATGGAAAGTGGGTGTTGTTGCGTTCTTCCTAAAACCAAGTAATTTTGTTTTTAAAGAAAAATCGGGTGGGGACAGGCTTCCACTTTAACCTCGAACCAGGACTGATACTTCCACAAATACTCAAAGGTTTTGTGAATCTCCTCCAATCCTGCATTACAGATACCCCTGAACGTTATTATTTTTATTTTTTTCCCAACTTGGGGTCAAATACACCCTTGCCTCTCTCTCTCTACCAACCGAGGTTTTTGTCTCTGGCCAGACTTTCCACAGGGAGCGGATAGTTCTTAAAATACGTTGACTGCCCGCGGCTTTTTAAAAGGACCCCCGTTTTTTTTTAACAAAATGCTTCCCCTCAAATTGTTGTGGTGATCCGACGGGAATAATCAGGGATGAATCAACCATTCTCTTTACATCCTTTTTGAAAAGGGATTTTTTAAAAAAGTGATTTAGGGGATTTAAATTTCTTTTTTTTAAAAAAAAACGACACCGCCTTTTTGTTTTGGTAACATCGTCATCTTTGAACTTGCTGTACATATATTTGTGCTTGTGTACAGGGGTTTAATAAAACGATTTTTTTCATACGTTTGTGTACCTATGTCAGCCTTGAGATGACCTATTCCTGGAAAATCAAACTTCCAGGTTTATGGGGGATAAATATTGTGGGTTTTGTGCTATTTTTTCCCCTCCGTGCCTTTTTAAGGGAGTTAAAGGTAAAGATTCCCCTCGCACATACGTGCTAGTCGTTCCCGACTCTAGGGGGCGGTGCTCATCTCCCTTTCAAAGCCGAAGAGCCAGTGCAATCCAAAGACGTCTTTGTGGTCATGACTCGATGCCGAAGGCGCATGGAACACTGTTCCCTTCCCACCAAAGGTGGTCCCTATTTTCCTACTTGCATTTTTTAACATACTTTCGAACTGCTAGGTTGGCAGAAGCTGGGACAAATCACGGGAGCTCACTCCGTTACGCGGCGCTAGGGATTCGAAACTGTCCTTTCTGATCAACAATCTCAGCGTCTTAGCCACTGAGCCACCGCGCCCCTATAATTTTTTATTGATATAAACTGTTTAAATAGCCAGCCATCTTTCAATCACCTTTGGGCATCTTCCGAAGGAAAATTTGCATTAAAAAATATGGACAGAAAGCCATAAATAACCCTCCCTGATTTAATCCTGCATGAATGGAAGAATTAGCTGTTTATTCAGA